AGTTTGAATTTTGAGAGAATAGAGTTTGAGAAAGAAAAGAAGAGGTTTTTTGAAGAAGAGAAAATATTTGGTGCTGAACGGATAGCCTATGAAAATAAGATAAACTCTCTCGAGCTGAACGCAAAAATGCTTTTAAAGCAAGTCTCAGATTTTGAGCAGCTGATTATCTTGGAATGAGCCAAGATAAATAAAGAAAAGAACAACATCAAAGAAGAATGTCTGAGTCAGAATCAGAAATTGTCTGACAACATTGCTCTAAAACAGAAGGCTTTAGATGAAGAAAAAACGCAATTTGCGCTTGAAAAGAGAAATTCTACAAAGAAATATGTAGCTATTGCTAAAGAGCTTGCTGAAAAGAAAAAATGGCTCGACATCGCTTCTGAGAATGAGAAGAGCAGCTCAGATGAAGAGAAAAGATAGTTTAAAAATCAGAAGAAGAAATTTGAAATGCTTAAGAAGGAGTTAGAAGGTAAACTCCTGGATACTTCAAGAAAATTGTCTGATCTAAAGACAGAACTTGAAAATGAATTGAAGATGAGAACTTGTGTGTCCCAATTAATCTATCTTCATGTAAACCTTCAACAACAACAATGGCAGAAAGATATTTCATGTAAGAACCCTAGAAGGAGTAGAGAGAGAGAAAGTCAAGATCGGAATTCTTGGTCAAACTTGTATATACGAATACTGATTTATCAAATGAGCTTCCTACTCAAAATAACAAAGCAAACACCCTTTATATAGGGTCAAACTACAAGACAAAGTCAAAGTCAAACATATCTAAGAAAAGTCAAACACGATGACTTTTAAACAATTGTAGACAATTTTATCTTTCAAGACGAATACAATTTTACACTGAATTTCAGTCCTAACATTCTCCCCCTTTGTATTCAGACTTGAAAGAAATTGCGTGCTTTGAGTCTCGTTTGAACTTTGTAGCATTAAGCCCACTATGTCTTCTTCAAAAACCAACTTCAACCCGAAATCTTCAAACAATCATTTGTTGAGAAAGATCTTCTAACATTCTCCTCATCGAATGTAGAACAACGATGATCTTCTCTTTTGACAATGTAGAACAATATCAACAAAAATCTTCAGAAACAATAAACAAGATGTGATCTTCAAAGAATCTTCAGACAACAAGTCACAAACTTTCTCTTTGATAAGAAAACTCTGTTGGTAAACTTTTGAAACGATGATCTTCTCATTCAAAAACTCGCAGTCGTTTTAGCACATGAATAATCTTTCTGTAATTATCTCCAGTCGCACTCCTTTTGAGTCTTTTGCCAATTTTGATATTACTCCCCCTTGATCTTTACATCAAATTCTCCTTATAATGATCGGAATTGGACATTTCATTCATTATTACATACTCCCCCTTATGATGAAATGAGAATCATGACATCATACACAAGAATGAATGAAATTTCCCGCGAAAGCCGTCAATTCATGAAATTGTAAGTAGATCTTTTCAAATCCACTTATTTAATCTTTTCAGATTAAGGGAATGAGAAGATAACAACCAATTTCAATGAATTAAATAGTTTTCAATCTTATAAAAGATTGGCCTGTGAGTATAACAAATATACTCAGTACAACAGATGTACTTAATAGAAGCATATCTATGAATGTTTTGGCAAAATAACATATAAAATGCAAAATCTGTGTAGTGTAAAAAAATAAAGCAAAATATGCTTATGTTTAGGCTCAAAAAGATAAACCGTGTGGACTACACAAATTTATCTGACTCAATACGTGATCAAAAAGACTTGAAGGGGGGGWCATATATCTTTCTGATTCAATATCAACTTTCTCCGAATGAGAAATTGATAGATGATGAGTTGCGTGCCCCAAGTATTATTGAAACACTTATCTGTTGAGAGATAAATGAGTAGCTGGTGGGGTTGTGACAAGAATTGGTCTGGCCTTTGCCTTTTCCAATATTAGTCTCGAAAGAATTGAGAACTAATAGATTATGTGGTATGCCCGGATTTTAGAAGTTTGGAACAGGATTCTTWTATTCTTTTAATCCTGACACAACTCTCGTCAATTCTTTTAGCTCACAACAACTACCCTTCTCATTTTCATTTTAGTCTCAGCACACAAACCCTTTTGTATATAAAGCTCCATCAGATATGGTTGTCCTCAAGGGTAGGTCTGTCGGTTCTAACATTTCATAGAAGTATTTCTGATAAGCACTCAGTCCCTCCTAAAATTTAGCATTATGCTCAATTGATCATAAACAGTTGATCAAAAATAATATTTCAGATAAAGCACAATGATCAGATAAAAATGGATCAAAATATTTGGCTTTAAGCACAATTAATGAAAGAATGATGCGACAATGATCAGATTATTAGATATGCGAGAGAAATGAATGAAAATCTGTAAGTACTAGTTTACAGATTCTGATTAAAAAAAATGTATATCAATTAAGGTAAAAAAAATCAGAAAAATCAACCTTTGAATACAAACGAGCGTATTATCACCGAAAATGATTTTTGTATAAGAGACATGATAATAACAGTTTGAAGAATAGCTGAAACAGATATTGGAGTTATGTACAATGAGAAATTATGCAAGTAAAATCTCAAGAAATACCTGTTCAGAAAATGTACTCGTTTCCCAAAAAATATTATTGTCCGAAAAACATTTATTGAACTTTCTAGAGACTCCCCCTAGAAAGTACATTATAGTAATGTTTCAGTTAAGCTCAAAAATTAAAAAAACTTGGAACTTTCTCGGGTCCTAAACTGGGTGTTTAGAAGCCTTAGTCGGTTAAGCACGGGTTCTGAATTGATATATTCAGAAGCCTCACTGGAACAGATTACAACTCCCCCTACATTGATGTATCACTGATATGATATTCTGATCAGCACAAAATTGACACACCTGCAAAACCAGATTAAGTAGATTTTGGTACCCGAATGAATTTGGATCCTATTTTGTTAGTATCGGGTTGAGGTATGTTGTAACTTCCAAACCATCTATTCCTATTAGATATATTATTTTTAGCACTTTGAACAGGATGATCAGAAATAGAATATGATCCATACTAGTTATTATGATCATACATGTTCTTACCTTTCCAACTGTTCTGATAGCTTTTATCTCCATGCCACCTATTGCACCTTTTCTTATTGACAAAATCATTGGTTCTGCATGTTGGGCACATAATTCTTCTCTTGCTAAGATTGATCAGATCATTAGTGGATCTCACAATGCAAAGAAGAACAGAGTTAGTAACAACAGGTGTATGAGATGAAACAGAATCAGCTTTATTAACCCAAATGCTTTTAATCTTAGAAAATTTATTGGGTGATCTGATAACATACCCTTGATAATACTGATTAAAAGAACGAGAATAGTTTTTAGAAACAGTAGATTGAGGGCTGCTTGAATAACTATTCGATTTGGAACAATCATAGAAGCTAGTTTTACACTGTGATGGAGAACCAATTGAGCTTTGTGCACAAGAAAAGTCTTTGACTTTCTGTAAAATCTGGTCTCTTTCAACAGTAACTAAATCAAGCTTATTTTTAAGTTTTGTTCTCATCTTCAGCTCAGTTTCAAGGTCTGTCTTCAGATCAGACAATTTCTTTGTAGTGTCAAGGAGTTTACCTTCTATGTCCTTTTGAAGCATTTCAAACTTTCTCTTCTGATTTATTAACTCTATTTTCTCTTTATCTGAGCTGCTCTTTTCATTCTCAGAAACGATGTCAAGCCACTTTTCTTATTAGCAAGCTCCTTAGCAATAACTGTATACTTCTTTGAAGTATTTCTCTTTTCAAGAGCAAATTGCTTCTTCTCTTCATCTAAAGCCTTCTGCTTTAGAGCAATGCTTTCAGATAACTTCTGTATTTGGCTCTGACAGTYTTCTGAGATGTCTTTCTTCTCTTTATCATTCTTGGCCCGTTCCAAGATGATCAGCTGCTCAAAATCAGATATTTGCTTTAACAACATTTTTGCATTTAGCTCTAGAGAGTTTATCTTATTTTCATAAGATATGCGTTCAACTCTAAACCTTTTCACATTCTCTTCTTTTCCTTTTCAAATTCCATTCTTTTAGAACTAAAACTCTTCTCAGCTTTCAGAACTTTTTCCTTCTCTAACTCTAGTAATTTCTGTAACTCACTCAACTCACTCTCAGATTTATCAGTTAAGTCCTCTGACTCTTTACTATTCCTCCCAAAAGAATTCCTCTCAGTTTGTAGCTCTTGAAGTTTATTAAAMATGTCATTATTAGCTTTACTCCAAGTTCTCAAATCATCATCATAATCTTTCCTCACTGAACTCAGAGTTTTCTCAAGTTTATTAATCTTATTCATGAAATCATTCTCAACTCTTTCCAATTCTACTTTATGATCTTTCTTTAAATCTTTGATAAATTCCTCATTTGAATGGTTCTCATAAAAAATGTTTATGTATTTGTCTTTATAGTCCACAATGCTCTTCTCCATCTTTGAAATATGAGATCTCAACTCTTTATTCTCCTTCTCTAAAATAGCTGCCATTAAGAAAAATTAAGATTGATTAACCGGATCAAATGCTATGAAATCAGATAAAAGAAATCAAAAATAGTTAAGCTCAAACAGAATAGAAAAACACAAAAAAACTGTTGAGAAATCAGAAAAAAACGACGAAAAACTGTCTAAAATCATTAAAAACAGTCAAAACTATTAAAAATAGTTAAAAACAGTTAAAAACAGTTGAAAAACAGTCAAAGACAGTTAAGATTGATTAAAACAGTTTATGCGACGCAGAATAATTCAAAAATTTCTCAAACAGTTAAAACACAGACCAAAACAGATAAACAATGATCCAAAAATTAAAATCTAAAAAAATAAAACTCAAAAACCAAAACCAAAAACAAATGATCTCAATTAAACAGTTAGCTAAAAATATAGCTAAACCAGACAAACTGTTGTGTGATAAACACCAAGACCGGACGACACAACCTTTGATTTACACTTCAACGATACAAAGTTTTAAACACAGACAAATACAGATAAAGATAAACTTGAATACAAATAAAGGTTTGTCCGAGGAAAATCAAAACAGTTCCTGTCTAACTTTTGAGCCATCCAGCCTTCCTCTGAGTGATTGTCTTCTTTATAATGAAATCCTCCTGTTTCCTACCATGCAATTTTGCTTCTGGTTACCTTCACCACTCAATATAGCATCTTGGACAACAGCACCATAGCTTGTTCAAGATTGCACACATGCACTCTGCAGTAAAATCTCAAAACAGACACATTAATCAAAAAGCTAAATGATTTCAGTAATGTAAAACATATTCCTTGTGGATGCCTGGATGACAGAGAATGTGAAATCTGCTTGAGATGCTATCCGAATTTGATGAACAAATTAGCCTAATTGAGAGTCCATTTTGACACCAACTCCACCTTTATACAGAAACCACAATCTTTGGGATGTGTGGTTAAACTTGCTGAGAAACTTCCGCATATACGATCAATATGTATTCACGAGATGGTGACACGTGCCTTTAAGTATATACTTGAAGCTGTTATTGCCTCTGTTGAGAACTTTGCGGAGTTGTCAGCAGCAATAGTCTCAACCTTGAATTTTTTAGAAGTTATCGATTCTTAGAGGACTGTGTCACAAGATTGGATCGGAATTGGTTCCAAGAGACTACGATATGGGAAGTCCAAAGCCATTTAAGAGTTCTGGATAAAGGAAAGCTAGAAGATGCAGTTAACTGTGGAACCAAGGCACTTGCAAAGATGATAGCTGTATGTGGTCCTTATCACCACTCCACCACTAGTGCATACAGTCTCCCTGTAGTAGTTCTTTACCACACTGGTCACTTTAATCAGGCAACCATTTATCAACAGAGGGCTTTGGATATGAATTAGAGTGAACAAGAGCTTTCTGTTCAGCAACTAGAATAGAACATTCTATTGTGAAGCAGACAACAGAGGCCTTAAATGATATTGAACTAGAGCTATCTGATGATGAGATCCGAAAATTGGGCTACAAGGTTACTGGGGACAGTCAAACAATGACCAGGCTTCAATAATTTCCCTTCTCTTGTCTAAGAAAAAGATGAGCTTGATCATGCTGCGCATCCTGCACTGAGATATCAAGAACTTCGTTGCCAATGAGCAACTGTAAGCTACCGTCCAACCATCTCACAAAGCGTGCATTGCTATCATAAGATATAGTGCCATCAACATTTCTAACAGCCCTATATAAATGCATCTGCTACAACCAAATCAATAAAGCAGCACCAATAAGAAAACTAAACCAAAATCAATCAATCAAAACCAAAATCAAAACCAAAATCAAGTCTGTCACTAAACCAAATTACAGAAAAGCTTTCTTCAACCCTAGTACTCCACTTGAACCTGTTTCAATCCAGAAAGGCTTTCTTCAGCCATATGTAGCTCTGCATCTTTATCGAAGAAAAAAAATGGGCCTTGTCTAAATCAGCTGCTGTTTTGCACGATGAACCTGTAATAAGATTGAAATTGACCAAAGAGTTCTTCAACTTAGGTAAAAAAACAGTCGACCCTTTGTGCGATTTAGAAAATCCGGTAAAAAAATAAACCAGCGATTTAGTCTGAGCGATTTACCAGACTCTGATCACTAAATGATCAATCTTCAATAATCTTCAAAGATTCAATGGCAGATCTGTGTATAAACTTGTAAGAACATAGAGAGGAGATGAAAGTTTGAGAGAAAAAGTCAATCTTCAAATCTTGGTGAAACTTGAATATACATAAACTGATATTACAATGAAAGCTCTCTACTCAAATTTACAAAGACATCACCCTTTATATAGGGTCAAACTATCCTAATAAAAATCAAACACGATGACTTTTATATAATTATAGACAATTTTATCTTTCAAGACGAATACAATTTTACACTGAATTTCATTCCTAACAGAACTGAACTAAAAAATAAGTATGATTTAGTTGCTGATGAATGAGACCAACTTTTAAAGAAAGTCAAAGACTTTTCTTGTGCTCAAAGCTCAACTGGTTCTCCTTCACAGTGTAAAACCAGCTTTTATGACTGTTCGATATCTAACAGTTATTTAAGCAGTCCTAAATCAACTGTTTCTAAGAACTATTCTCGTTCTTCAAGTCAGTACTATCAAGGGTATGTTATCGGATCACTCAATATTCATTCAAAAGTTAAAAGCATTTGGGTAAATAAATTTGAATCTGTTTCATCTCGTACCCCTGTTGTTACTAACAATAATCTTCCTTGTATTGTGAGATCTACTAATAATCTGATCAATCTTAGCAAGAGAACAATTATGTGCTCAACATGTAGAACCAATGATTTTGTCAATAGGAAAAGGTTCAACAGGTGGGATGGAGATAACAACTATCAGAACAGTTGGAAAGGTAATAACAGGTATGATTACAATAACTGGTATGGATCTTATTGTATAAAAAATTATCCTGTTAAAAGTGCTAAAAAGATAACATCAAAAAAATAGATGGTTTGGCAGTTACAATATCCCACAACCTGATACTAACAAAGATGGACCCAAGTTCGTTTGGGTACCAAAATATGTTTGATCTTATTTTGTAGGTGCGTCATTACTGCGCTGATTAGAAATTCATCCAATGATGCACAAATTCAGGGGGAGTTATATACTGTCCAAACAAGGCTTCTGAACAACACAGTTCAGGACCCATGCTTAACCGAGTGTGGTTTCTAAATACCCAGTTTAGAACCCGTGCTAAAAATGTTTCCTTTATTTTTTTTTAATTTTTGAGCTGAACTGAAACATTACTATAATCTACTTTATAGGGGGAGTCTTTAGAAGATTTAAATAAATGTTTTCGGGAAGTGAACAACTTTTTTCTTGGAAACGAGTACATTTTCTGAACAAGTATTTCCTGAGATTTTACTTGTGTAATTTCTCATCGTACATAACTCTAATACCTGTTTCATCTATTTTTGAAATTGTTATCATCACGTCTCTTAAAATAATATCATTTTCGGTGATAATATGCTCGTTTGTATTCAAAGGTTGTTTTTTCTTATTTTTTTTACCTTTTTTGATATACACTTCATATTTTTTTAATCAGATTCTGTAAACTAGTTGTTAGACCCCAACTTGTGAAAGTGTAAGTAAGAAGTGTCTTACTCTAGTCAATAGGACTTAGTCTATAGAAGCTGTCTGGCTAAGAGCTCTTATGCAGATGATCAAGAAGCAGAGCTCTTACTCAGAGTGAAGGTTCCATTCATACAAAGCCTGCGTTCTATCTCTGTGAACGCTCAAGCCTTGTGCGCCAAAAAGCATAAGCGCTTGACTTAATGCAATTACTCTAAGACCCAGAGCCTCTACATATGCAGAGCCTCTGCATAGTAAATGCAAAGCTTCTGCTCTGCATAGTACATGCAGAGCCTCTGCATAGTACATGCAGAGCTTCTGCATATGCAGAGCCTCTGCATAGTACATGCAAAGCTTTTGTATGTTCATGTAGAGCTTCTGGCTACCTTCTTCACGGAACGCGCACGTGTTAACCCAGACATTCTCGCAAGCGTCTAACAGATTTGAGGCGGCTTGACCAAGTCTGCTCCGCTATTCAAGCGAAGTCAAAGATAAGGATGCAGACCAGTCAACTCAGAGTTTCACGCCTATTATATAGCATTGTTTGTTAGACCTAGGCGTATATAAGGAGGCTTCCTCCTCAGGTTTAAAGTACCTGAAGGAACCGACTTACACTATACGTAATTTTTGTGAGATTACTTTTGTGCTTCAAATTGTTCATCTTTTATCAATAAAAGCATTCGGTATATTCAAGTTTATTCACTGCTTTACTTTCATATTTGAATATTCTGTTTAATCATTTGAAATACATTGTTTATTCATAATTCATATTACATAAATTGTGTTTCTGTTAATTAAGAGTATCTGGGTTCAACAATTGGTATCAGAGCCTGCTAATCAAATTCATTGATTAGTCGATCGATATCCGACTGGATTCTACTCTTAATTTTTGATTATTCGTTTTTAAAAGATTTGTTGCTCTTATTTCTCTTGATTTTAAAAACGTTTGCTTTTAAGTAATTTGGAAATCGTTTTTCAGTCGATTATCTTTCTCGTCAAAGTTTTCTTCTCAAAATTTTAAATCTAAAATGTCGTCTTCTCAATCATGGAACTCTATGTATAGTGTCGGTTCCTTGACAAAACCTCCGACTCTCATTAGGGAAGAATATCCCCAATGGAACATTCGGATGATAAACTTCTACGAGGGTCTTGACCTAGAACTTTATGAGTCAATTTTAAATGGTGGATACGTCCCTACCACCATCATACCTCAGATTCCTGCTGCTGGTGATACAGTTCAGGTACCTGCCAGGCGAGTACCCAAACTTCATCGTGACTAGAACGATGAAGACAAACGGAGAGTGGAAGTGGATCAAAAGGCCAAAAGACTTTTGATTATGGCGCTTCCCAACGAAATTTTCCAGTCACTCGACGCATGCGACTCAGCCAAGGATTTGTGGGATCAATTGGCTAACCAGTTGGAAGGAGGCATCAAGATGAAGAAGAATCATCGTGCCCAATGCCTGAATGAATACAATAGCTTCCAGGCACTCCTCGATGAGTCTTTAGAGCAGACTTATCATTGCTTCAACACTCTGATCAACAAATGTCGCAAATGTGACGTGATCAGAACTCAAGATGAGAACAACATACTCTTCTTGAAGAGATTGAACGCAGAATGGGGAAATAAGACGATGTCTCCCCAGGAAAATCAAGATCTGGAGCAATGGACACTGGACGATGTATACGGGACTCTGCAGGCTGAAGAACAAGAGGTGCAGAAGGCAAAGGTCGCTCTGGGTGGACCTTTGGCTCTTGTCTCTGAATCAAAAGAGACAGGATCAAGCCCACCACATAGAGAACGGTGACCCAGAGAAGAGAGAAGAAAGGGAAAGAAGGCTCTCATCTTGGAGAGTGATGATGAAGAAGACAGAGCTTCTAGCTCTGAAGATGATGACATCAACGTCTTTGCGAAATCCTTGGCCCTGATCACCAAGGAATTCCAAAGGAAATTTGGGAAGAAGGTCTTCGACAGAAGAGGAAGACAAAATGATAGAAGCAGAGGAAAATCTTTCGAAGGAAGGAACACTTCTTCTGTTTCCAACAAGAAGGAGGAAGAGCCGTCGGACCAGAAGAAGCAAGGTGTCCGATGCTTTAGATGCTAGAAGATGGGGCACTACTCCAAAGAATGCAGAGGCCCCTTAGTGAAAAACGAACTATACTATAAAAATAAGTACAAGTATAATCGAACACAAAGGAGCCTCATGGAAGAACAGGAGAATTGGGTCTCTGACTCCTCGTCTGAAGAAGAAGACCAAGCAAACTTCTGTGGGATGGCTGTCGAGAATGACAAAGAAGAGTTTGGATCTGACTCCGACTCCCAGGTATGTTCTATCTCTGGTTATTCTCACTCTGACCTGGAAGATAGTATCTTTGCTTTGACTAACGATTTCATCAATCTACAGCAAAAACTCTCACTCGAAAATCCAAAAGAAAATCCTTGGAAAAGGAAAACTATTTTTTGAACGAGAGACAGAGCTGCTAACTGTAGAGAAACAAGAGTTGTCAGTGGAAAATGAAAAGCTTTTACAAACAAAACGATCCACTGAAACAAGTCTTAAAACAGAATGCTTAGAATTAAAAGCGGCTATTAAGAAGAAAGAAACAGAGCTTCTAGAGAAAGAAAGAGACAAATTAAACTTTGAGGCCCTAAAAGATTGTTTTCAAAAGGAAAAGGAGTTCCTACACCAGAGCTTACAAAGAAAAGAGCTCTTGATTAAGAAATATCAAGATGCTCAGCAGGTGTACGAAAAAGTAAATTCTCAACAGGATAAAGCAGGGATAGGTTATGTAGACCTAGACCTCACCTGGAAGAAGAAAAATACTCTTGAATCCATGTTTAGGTTGGGCGAAAAACAGAAACCAGATTTTCCTATTTTGTATACAACTTCACCATTTAAAAGATGTAAGCTTGAAAGTGGAGCTATAACTCCTAAGTTGAAGTTCAAAAACATCTCTTACTCTTCAAAATGTGTGCCACAAGTTGATTTAAAATGCATACAGAAGACAAACGAGATTTTTTGTTTTGGCTCTACAAATCTTGAACATCTTAAGACTGAAAGTGAGGTTGTCAAACCTGAACCAGATGAAATCAAGAGTTCATCCACATGAAATTTTCTTAAAACTCTTGTTTCTAAATTAATGGATGGCTTTACAGAAACGATAAAACAGGTTTTTGAGCAAGACTTGCTTGAGGCCTTGAATTATCCTCCTAAAGGTCATGTAGATTCTTCTGAGTGTAACTCCTCGGATACTTTTGAAAGTCCATCAAAACAAAAGACGGACAAAGCTTCTAGCTCATGCATACGAGAACCTCAGGTTCTTAATGATACCTTTGTATTTCGATTTTCACACAAGGATTTTCTTGACTCTGACTCTGAGTCAGAGGTGGACTCGTTTAAAGAGCAAGTTAAGACAGAGGTCGTTGCCAAAGAACCAGAGGTTGCAAAATCCTCTATTGAGAAAAAGATTCTCCTAGGTTCTGGCCGTGTAAGCATGACGACAAGTGCTAAATCCGCTCCCAAGTTTGAGTACAGGGTAAAGAGTGTAAAGTCTGTTTCTTCTGCATCAAAGGGCTCAAATTCCAAATCTAAGCCAATTAAATTCACTTCAGAATAGAA